CCGCTCCCGGCTCTCTTGGTCGACTGCCCGCCTTAGCAGCGCGCCGGGCCCGTTCCTGCGCGTCGTAGTCGGCTCGCCAGGCTCACATCCTTGCCGTCCGGGAGCGAGAGCTCGGGTAAATATAGGCCGGCGCGAACCATTCGCGCGCGGGGACGGGGGAGGAGCAGAGGAGAAGATCCGCTCCGGGCCGCGACGCCCGACGAATTTCTGGTCTCTTAAAGGGACCTGGTTGCAGCCCTTGGTCGAGGGCAGAAAGAGACCAATCCAATCCTTCGGTTATATCTTAAATATATCGGCATCTCTTACATCTACAGAAACCACGGCGATCTGGCGTTACCCCACAGCAAAAGGAACTTGCACTCTGACACCCCACCCCTAAAGCTGAAGTGCAACTCACTGAATAAATGTACGCCTAGATCGAAACTTCTGGGGGAGGCGGCGGAGGGTGAGATGGTAGGCTGTTATTTCCAGCGCAGAAAGGTTGAACAAATAGGGATTGTTTTCCTAGTGGCGCAGTTCCGCTCTGTGAGAATCCCTGGGTGATACTGAGTACTATTTTCAGAATTGGATTCTGTTAAAGAAAGCAAGCAGGCCATTCCATTAAAGAAAGCAAGCCCCCTAATCCCAGCACTTGGGAGGCTGAGGCAGGAGGATTGCCAAGAGTTTGAGGCCAGCTGGGACTACATAGTGAGGTCTGGGCCAGCCTGGACTTAATAGTGAGGCCCTGTCTCAGAAAGGAAAAGAAACAGCAAGCAGTGAGGCAGAGTTATTTTTGACCAGTTTGGAGCCTGTTACCCACAAGTACACAGCAGTAGTGAAAAGTGAGTGTTGAGATGATTGGAATGAACATTGCTGTTTACAGTCAATAAATGGGGTGCTCCCAGCTCCCAGGACCCCCCAGTACTGCTTCCTGCTGTGACCTCCGCCCCGCCCCGAGCAGAGCTATTTCCTGAGGTCAGCACAACCCTAAGTGCTGCTGTGTGGGGTCCGGCCTCAGTTTACTTGGACAGACCTGGCGCTCGGTTTTATTATATTATTGACACATCTGAGATGAGAATTCCTAGTAAAAATTCCAATGGCATTTGTTATTGGAGAGTCGGATAGAGCCTGGCCACCCTCCCGTGGGCGTGGTGATTGCATTAACCCTACTGCTTTCAGTGCCAGCTGGGCGATGTCCTTTGGTGGCTCCTTGCTGGGCTCATGAAACTGCCTGTTTGCCTCTGTGGTCGTGGTTTCACAGGCTTGTAATTTCAGCACTCAGGAGGCTGAGGCAGGAAGATCACCTCGAGTTTGAGGCCTGCATGAGCAACAATAATGAGTTCAAGGCCAGCCTGAACTACATAGCAAGACCCCTCTCAGAAGAAGAAGGAGAAGGAGAAAAAGAGGAAGCGGGGAGAGAAAAGGAAGACCATGTGCTAGGAGAAAGTGGGCCACGTGATGTGAAAAAGACCTGAAATACTTTGAGAAAGTTGGTCTTGACTAAGGAAATCAGAACAGACTCCCGGCAGTGGTAACATTTGAAGGGTGAACAGAATTTCTCCTATCGACAAGGACTGCTGGGCCTTCTGGGTATAAAGGACGCAAAACCACAGAAGGTTGATAATGCATGCACACGTGCAGGGTAGGGTGGACTTTAATGACGACCAAGGAGGAATTTCCCTATCAGAGCCGAAGGGCTCCTCCTGATGGGTTTCCGAGCCTCTGCTTTCTGAAGGCCGGAACGGCCTGACCGACCCAGGGCCAGGAGGTTCTGAGGACGAAGGACAGTGGCAGACGCAGGGTCGCTGCTCCCACTCTGTCGCGCCCCTTTAATAAACTCAGTTCCAACCCAGGGAGCGGGCGGGCTCTAGGCAAACGTGAACACCCGGCCGTGACTCATGGCCCAGACCTGTGCCGAGACCCAGGAGGGGAGCCGGGCCATCTCCACCCCGCCCGGCCTGGGCCCGCCTCTGGGGCCGGCCTGCCACCCCCGCTGAAAGCTCCTGAGGTCGCCGGCTCGGAAATCAGAGACTGGCAGCTCCGCAGCAGGACCTCTGCAGTCAGCTGGGAAACCAATCGCACTGTGACTACTTTGTGACGCGGCGCCATCCAGTGGTGGCAGGCAGAAGCGCCACTCCGTGGGATGGCTTCCTAGAAAACCAGCCGGGCCAGTGGACACGCCACCAAGTCCCAGTGGGAAAGAGCGCGGACCGCAGGAGGCCCACCCCAAGTTGGCATTGGGGCCGGCCTTCCACGCCACAGAGGCCTCTGGAACGGCTCCTCCCTCTCCACCGCCCTCAACATCCCACAGAATGGCTGTCGACCTCAGAGATGACAGGAGGAATCTGGAATCTTCAAAGTGTCCTGCAAATGTTTGCTGAGAGTCAGCTCGGTTTGATGGGAGAGCAGTAAAGCAGACAGAGGTGTTTGCCTTCGCGGGATTTATAGACCAAAGTTAGGCAGATAATCAACGAGCAGCTAATAAAAGATCAGGTCCTGGGTGCAAGCGGCAGCATTAGCAGTAGTAACGGACTGCTTTAGAAACGTGGGCCGAGTCATATGTCGTGGTGCACACCTGTGATCCCAGCATTTAGGAGGCTGAGGCAGGAGGATCACTGTGAGTTCAAGGGCAACCTGAATTACAGGGAGACTGTCTCAAAACAAAACAAAACGTGGCCCAGAAGGTGTGTCACTGGACACAGCCTCCAATGAGACAGGGCCAGTGGCCCAGAGAGGGCAGAGCACTCTGCCTGTGCTGGCCGGTAGGGTGGTCATCAGCCATATGCGGCTGTTCAGTACCGAGATGCACATTGGGTAGTAATATTTAGGCTGTGTTGAGTTGAACCAAATGCATTTTTGGTTCCTTTTTTGAGACAGAGTGTCCTTATGTCAGACATGCTGGCCTTGAACTCATATAACAGAGGCTAGTCTCAAACTCCCAGAGATTCTCCTGCCTCAGCCTCCTGAGTGCCAGGATTACAGATGTGCACCACCACACCAGGCTTCTCCCACTCACTTTTAAGAGCCAGCTCACTGGTCCTGGCCCTACCCACCTGCTCCGAGCTCCCTGGTGTGGATCTCGCCCTCCATGCTCATTTTGTTAACAGCGTTCTTGTCTTTAAATCCCTGTTCCCTTGCTAGACTGTGCTCCCGGGGGCCACGGACACTACTCGTCACCTCTTGTGTCACCACAGCTGTCATGATGCCCACCACCACTACGTGTTGTCATCCACTGTTTGGTCTGCGGAATTCACTTCAGAAGCTTGACTGGAAAGGCAAGGTGTGGAATCACCAGGTAGACCGCGGGAGGTTTCTGGGACCCTTCCGCTTCATTTAGGAAAGGCGCATGGGGGAGGAGCATGGGAGGAGCATTTGATTACGTGGCACTGTCTGATAGGCTATGCAGATCTATGCATTGTGGAGAACATTGAGTGATGTCTTATTGGATAGACCTATGGTGGGGTGATTCTTCTTGGGCAAGGTGAAGGAGTCACGCACTAGGGGCGGAGGTACAGCCTGTTAGACCCAGCGTCCACGCCCTTGGGTGAGTTAGCTCATCCGCAGAGAGGTCTTCGAGTTTGCTCAGAAGACTGGCGTTTGGCGCACCTGGCCCGGCCAGGCTTGAACTCTTCTACCATAACCACGCCCATGTACGGTCAGCACCCGCGGAACAGAAGTGGACCATGTGCGTATTTGCACAGGGACAGGGCTGTAGCAGGCATGGGCTACCGGAACCGGAAGGGCCCTGCAGGACAACCTGGCCAGCCCCGTTCTAGGTTTACAGAGGAGAAACACAGGCCCTGAGAGTACTGAGCAAGTGGCCGAGCTGAGGTGCAGATCCCTGAGCCTGAAGTTCAATTTAGGACACTTTTATTCTGCTAAACATAAACCCAAAGAATGGGCATGCTGGCATACACCTATAATCCCAGCCCTCAAGAGGCTGAGGCAGGAGGATCGCCACCTGGGCTACATAGCGAGACCCCATCTCCAGAAACAAATAAATACAGTGAACACAGAGCCAGAGGCTTTTAAACACAAAAATGTGTAGAATGCACATTCTTCACTCCCTGCGCCCCAGGCAGGCCTACATTTTGGAGGTTCGTTGATTGGTGAACTGGGCAGACACAACCCTCCCCATGAGCTCACCAAGTAGCCACGCACTGGCCCTTTTGTAAAAGTCCACTGGAGCCAGATGTACACCTGCCATCCCAGCATTCGGAAGGCTGAGGCAGGAGGATTGCCGGGAGCTTAAAGCCAACATGGCTACATAATGAATTCAAGGCGAGCCTGAAATACATAGTGAGACTTTGCCTCAAAAAACAAGCCAACAAGGCTGGGGATTTAGCTCAGTGGTTCCACCACCTGCCTCGCAAGCACAAGGACCCAAGTTCGATCCCCGGTACCAAAAACAAAACAAAACTTAAAAAACAAGCCAACAAGGCTGGGGATTTAGCTCAGTGGTTCCACCACCTGCCTCGCAAGCACAAGGACCCAAGTTCGATCCCCGGTACCAAAAACAAAACAAAACTTAAAAAACAAGCCAACAGCAACAAAAAAAACTCTAAATACTCTGGGACTCAGAGGGAGAGAGAACTTCTAGCAAACAGTGAAGCAATCAGGACTCGCCTTATGGAGGCAGAAGAGGGCTGCAAGTTAAGCATTTCAGCTGAGCAGATTGCTGCAGACCAAGGCAGCAGAGAGCGGTCCAGAGGGAGAAGAAGGCATGTGTGGAGGTGGTGGCCGTGGGACATATGGGGACAGTGGGGAATTTAAGGGCACTGAACACCGTCTGTGGCAGACGCTATGTCAGGGGAGCCTGTGCCATCTCTTCATTTTACAGAGGGAGAGCAGAGAAGAAACTGTTCCCAGGCCCCCCAAACTCATGCTTTTGTTTTTTCTGTTTTGTTTTGTTTTGAGATAGGGTCCCACTATGTACCCCAGGCTGGCAAGCCTCAAATTCCTGGAAATCCTCCTGCCTCAGCCTCCCAAGTGCTGGGATTACAGGTATGCGCCATCGTGCCCGGAATGCCCATGTGCTTTGTGACTGAGCCCGGGCCTCTCCCTGGGGCTGCAGTAGCAGACGGGGCATTCCAGGCTGTGAGTCCCAGAGGCCCTTGGGCCCTGCTCACACTCTGAGCTGAGCAGATGTCCTGTGAGCCAAGGAGACCTCTCCCCCTTTAACTTTGGGTATCAGGTATTTTGTCTCAGCAACGAGAAAAGGTTTTGTTTGTTTTCCTTCAGACAAGGTCTCCCTATGTAGTTCAGGCTGGGTTTAAACGCGCTATGTAGCCAGGCTTGATCTTGCTCAAACTTGTAGCAATCCTCCTGCCTCAGCCTCCCGTGTGCTGGAATTACAGGTGTGTACCAACAACCCAATGACAACAAAAAAGTAATTGAGACAGTCAATAATCTATAGTCTTAGTCTTGTCTTTAGTCTTAGTTTGAGCAGTGTTTCTTTTTTGGTACCAGGAATCAAACTCAGGACCTCATGCTTGCGAGACGAGGAGATGTGTTGCTGAGCTTGTCTTGTTCTTAGTGGGTGGGAGGCAAGGGTTGATTTACAGGGAGATCTCAGAAGGGTGGTACCAGTGATCTCAAGCTTCAGTTTACCTCTAAGAACATATGCAAATTTGACCTTTGTGACTAATCTTCCCAGGTGCCTCCAGCCACGGTTCCCTCCTGCACTGGCTCCCTGAAGGCCTGGCCCTTCTCTGCCCGTATTTCCACCTAACCGAGCTGTCTGCAGTGACAGGACCGGCTATGTGGGGCCCGGGAGGACCTGACCAGTCTTGTAAGACACCGCTGGATACGAGCGCATTTTGGGCATGACGCAGGGGCTGGCTTTTGCTGGGTTGAGCTGTTCCTTGGAGCGCGCACACGGAATCGCTTCTTCAGGGAGAGGGCAGGGACCCCGGGTGATTCACCCCTCCTCACTCAGGCGGGCGCCAAGAGGGTGCTCAGCCCTCAGCCCCACAGTGGCGGCTCCCTTCCTCCGCTGATTCACTCCTCTGCATCTGGATCCAGGACTTGTCTCACCAGCAGCTGCCTTCCCCTGTGCCCTCCTGTGAACACTATCCAGTGGGGTGCTCACCTGCCTAGCTCAGTGATGGAGAAAATGTGCACCCCAGTGCCCTCATTAAGCCAGGCGTGGTGGCGTGTGCCTGTGATCCTAACACTCAGGAAGCTGAGGCAGGAGGATCATCACAAATTTGAGGGCAGCCCGAGCTACATACTGAGTTTGAAGCCAGCGTGGACACTAGAGACCCTGTCTCAGAAAAAAACCTCAGTACCCCACTGAGTACTGAGCCATGATCTTGAGTACTTTCTCCTTTGCTATTTCTGCAGGATGGGAATTTATGATTTTTGTCATTGTCCCCATTCATCAGATAAGAAAACTGAAACAAGTTCTCTGAGTAATATCTCGGGGGAACATTAGACTAATCGATGCTCTGCTTATTTGTCAGCCAGGAAGATTTGCTGCTAGTGTCAAGGTCCTGTTGATTCCCCCACAAGTCTTGTAATTGCTTTGGTTTGTTTGATCAGTATATTTTGGCGCTCTAAGAAAAATGGCACAGAAATTGAAGGTGATTGTTTCCTCATAACCCCTGGAAGTGATGAAATCCGGGGAAGGAAACTAAGGGTGAAGCCTCAAGTTACTGGTTGAGCTTCGTGAGGCAGCAGGATCCTCTGGCTCACCTATTGTATTACACTGTAAACCTTACCTCATGTTCGTATGATCTCTAGCCCGTCAGTTCTGGAGAGAATGCCAGAAGCTTTTGCTAATCCTATTCCACGTGTCTTTGCAATATAGTTCTGGAGGTTATATTTATTGTTTGTTTCCAGACAGAATCGCACCATAGTTCTGTCTGGTCTTGAACTCACTATGTAGCCCAAGATGGCCTGGAACTTGTGGCGATCCTCCTGCCTCAGCCTCCCGAGGGTTGGGATGACAGGTGTGTACCACCACACCCGGCTTGTTCAAAGATTTCAGACAAACTGCTAGTGGGTTGGGGAATGAGAGAGCTCATGCCCCAATATGTTCCTTTGCTGGCCTGTGAGCACTAACTTCGGGAGGCCTTGCCAACTACCGCAGGGCTGGCGGGCAATCCCTGGAGAGCTGCGCAGAGTTCTTTCAGTGAAGCAAGAGCCCCAGGAAGAAGCCGCACGCAGAGGGCTGGAAGCAAATCCCAAGATGGATGTGTGGTGTGGCCCAACTCTGCCTGCTGCTAACTTCCTATGACTGACCCCTAGCCAGTCCACTTCCACATCTGCAGCTGCACCAGGAGGGAGTGGGCTGTTCCTGCATCTGTGTTACCCAGAGTTTATCAGAAACCAAGCTCCATACATGCCTGTAATCCCAGCAGCTGGGAGGCTGAGGCAGGAGGATCTCGTCACAAGTTTAAGGCCAGCCTGGGCTACACAGAGAATTGAAACCCAGGTGTAATTACATGGCAAGACACTGTCTCAAAAAAACAAAACAAAACAGACCAAAAGGAAGCCAAGACCCAAGTCTCACCTATAATGACCATATACATTACAATCTTCCTGTTGAGACTCCAGAGGTTTATGTGCACATTACAGTTTGAGAGGGGCCACATTTAAATGGCTCCTCGATCTTTTATTTCTAGTTAACAGGCAAGTAAAAATTACATATGTCCATCAAGTACAGCATATTATGTTTCAGTGTCACATATGTGCGAGAGGAAATCAAGCCAGCTAATACATGCATTATACTGACTTCTACAATTCATGCTAACGACCCTCCTTCCCCAGCACCCCCAGGGACACACAGGTTAATGACAGGGTGGGTTGAATTCTGACTCTGCATGAACTTGGCTCTACGATTTAGACACACTGCCTCCTCTGAGATCACAACAGAGGCAGTTCTCTGGATTGAGAACGTGTTTTACCAGCACACACTTAAACCTAACCTGTCTTCTCATATTACTGTTAGAGGGAGCGCTTGATAAGGTGAGGAATAAAAGCCCGGTTCTCTAAGGGTGGAGCCAGCTTGCTATTTTTCCTTCCACCTCTGCCTCTTACCCACCCCCAGTTTTTTGAGAGAGGGTCTCGCTGCGTAGTTCAGGCTAGTCTCGAACGCACTATGTAACCCAGCCTGGCCTCCAACTCGTGGGGATCCTCCTGCATCAGCTTCATGTGCGCTGGGATTATAGGCGCGTGCCTCCACGCCCGGCTGCTCCCTTTCATTTTAATTATAGGAAACATTGATGCGATATTAGCTGGAATTTAGAAATATTTTTTATTTGAAATAAATCAGCAGTCAGACCCTGTTGGCTTTCTCTATAATTTGCCAAGCCCTCGAAATAATCATTCATTTCCCATTCGGAACTCCCATTAAGGCGGGGATTTATCTCCCCAGTTTGCCTCTAGGGAGTAGGTAAACAAAATGCGATTCAGTTGCAGGGCTAGATCGACGCGCAGCATCGCCTGGGGACACCAGGTTTTATTGAAAACAAAAAAATTACCAGCTCTCCCGGAAGTTAGAGACAACGGTATTGGGCAAAAAAGCGGGAAGGCGGGGCGAATCCAGCGAACGTGTGCGGCCATCTATTCTAGTTGTCCTAGTTTCTGGACGGACGCTAGAGACCGAAGAACAAATCTGGGACGTACCATTCTCTTAACTCAATCATTAGATCTAAATAGAGACATTCGTACGTATCTACAATAAAGTTCCCAGAATCATTTTTACATTTTTTTCCTGTGATACTGGGAGACACAAAATACATGTAATGAGCCCTCTGGAGTCTGTCATTCTCCTTTTCCCCGTCAACCGCGGGTCTGAACCACTTGGACTTTACCTTACGTCACTTCCTGCAGCAGAGCCGCGAATACCGGAAGCCTCTGTCGTGAGGAGAGGGCTGTACCTCGCCGGGGATGCTATGGGCCGCAGGAGGGCGCCGGGTAGCGCCTCTCTGGGCCGGGCCCTTATCCGCCACCAGAGTCAGCGGAGCCGTAGCCGCCGTCACACTGACTCCTGGGTGAGACAGACCGCGCGCGTTATCTTTCTTTCTTCTGTCTAGTTTCAAGAGTCCCGAATGTTACAAAATTTGAGGTAAAAAGTCACAGGGAAATTTTCCACAAGTGACGCGTTTTGCAGAGCAGGGAGCAGAATTAGAGGCTTGAAACAAGCAGGACTGGTGTGTTGAGGGAGAGTCACAATTGCCGAAATGTCCTGAGTACGTTTGTCTTTTGCCCTAGAAATCTTAAGTGCTCTTGGAAGTTTCTGAGCAAGAGAGAAACAAAACTTTTGAAAATATATTGATTTTGAGCCAGGCGTGGTGGCGCACGCCTGTAATCCCAGCACTCGGGAGGCTGAGGCAGGAGGATCGCTGTGAGTTCGAGACCAGCCTGGGCTACACAGTGAGTTCCAGGTCAGTCTCAACTACATAGTGAGACCCTGTCTCAAAAAACAAAAATTCCCTTTATTGTAACTGGGCGTGGTGACTCGCGCGTCCAGAGACAGAGGCAGGAGAATTGCACGTTCAGGGTTGGCCAGGATAACTACGTGGGGGGAGACCCTGTGTCAACAGACAAGAAATATCCGTTCCAACAGTTGATCCTCCAGAAGATACTGGTTGTCTCAGAAGCACAGACTCACTCAGATCCCCGCTTCCCTGTGTTTTTTTAGCTCATTCATTTACCAGGTGTGGCCAAACCTAAGAAGGCCGCTGCAGGGTCAGAGGGGCGCCTGAAAGAGTCAGCCTTTGCCTTGTGTTTAACACTCTGGTCTTCACTTGGTGCCCCCAAGTACTTGCTGGTGTTCCGAGTGCTAACGTTCTGTGTGCCCCTGGGGCTGTCTGCGGTGTCCTCGGCCCTCAGTCACCCTGGACCTTAGGTCACTGGTAATGTCAGTTGATTTTTGAGGCAACTTGTTATTGTTGTCACCTTTTGAAAACAGTGGAGAGGGGACCGGAAATTTGGCTTAGTGGTTTTGCCACCTGCCTCGCAATTTCGAGGACCTGAGTTTAATACCCGGTACCAAAAAACACAAATAAAAAGTAAAAACAGTGGGGAAACTTGAGTGTGAATTCCAAACATTCTAATTCTTGCTCTAGCTTTTGCTGATTCTGTGATGCACCAAGCCTCCTAAGCTTTTGACCCTTAATTTTTTTTTCTTTATTTGTTCGTATCTGTACTTAGTATATAACTTAGAATGGTGTTTGTCAAACTGAGTTATGCCTTGAACCAGTTGAGTTCATTTGTGACTTTTTTTTTAAACCCCAATAAGAAGGTATTAGGGTGTAATATGTGCTCAGGTAAATTATTTCAAGATGTCTTTGTTTTCATTTTACTATAATGATCAGTACTTGCCCACTTGGATCACTGTGTGTCATGCACTTTAAAGTCACTATATAAATTTTTTTTTTCCAATAAGAAGGTATTAGGGTGTAATATGTGCTCAGGTAAATTATTTCAAGATGTCTTTGTTTTCATTTTACTATAATGATCAGTACTTGCCCACTTGGATCACTGTGTGTCATGCACTTTAAAGTCACTCTATATAAAACCTTGCTCTTGTGAGGCAGGTGGCAGCACCACTGAGCCAAATCCCCAGCCCTAAAATGTATTTCTTGTTGTGGCGCTCTGTCATACAATTTTTTACTTAACTGGTTGGCAGAGGCAGGCTGGTTCCAATTCTGTGACTCTCATCTGTAACTATAGGCAAATTACTGTACCTATTTAGGTCTCAGTTTCCTGATCAATAAATGGAGATAAAAGAAAATGAACTTCAAAAGATTTTGGAAATTTAAATGGTGAAGGGGAAGTGTCTCTCCTGAAATGTGAAAGTACTCATGTAAGTGCTAATTACTAGTATGAGATTCTGTAGAGACTAACCTACCCTCAAGACCACAGAACAGTTTGCAAAGGAGGTCAGAGCCTCTTGGACGTCAGGAGCGACAGAAAGCAGCTTTCCTTTTGTGCTTTTCATTCATAGTTGCACACAAGCGAACTCAACGATGGCTATGACTGGGGCCGTCTCAACCTGCAGTCGGTGACTGAACAGAGCTCCCTCGATGACTTTCTCGCAACTGCGGAACTCGCGGGAACAGAGTTCATAGCTGGTGAGTCATGTGACGCTGCTCCCGTCACCTCTTGCCACGGTGATGTAGATGCTTGGAAGTGTTTGAGGGCACTGCTGAGGGCAAATCCAGGCTCTCCGTGCCCGAAAGGGGTTGCCCAAGAGCAGTGAAGGAAAGTGCAGGAGAGTTCAAGCTGTGAGGTGCCACATGTGCCACAGGCTTTCAGTCAGCTCTAGAGGATACTTTGGATTGTACTTCTTCCTATCAGATTCAAGAACCGCAGTCTCTGGGGGGGAGAAAGATCAGTCAATATTATGGTGGACAAAGTTTTTATTATATTTTTATTATTAAAAACAAGATCCTATTTTGGCTTCTGTTAGAAAATTTGAATCTATCTATATCTATATCTATATATTTGTTGTTGTTTTGAGACAGGGTCTCCCTATGTAGCTCAGGCTGGTCTTAAGCTCACTATGTAGCCCAGGCTGGCCTGGAACTTAATAGTGGTCCTCCTGCCTCAGCCTCCTGAGTGCTGGGATTACAGGCATGCGCCACCACTCCTGGCTTGTGACTTTATTTTTAAAGGACTGGTCAACATCATGAATTTTTCCATACATAATCTTAATTGTCACTGCTTTCCCTTTCTTTTCTTTCTTTTTTTTTCATGTAGCCTAAGCACTTAGAAAAGTAGCTGTCAGAGATGATATTATAAACTATTATCTCTACTTCTTTATTATCATAAATGTCACGTTTTGCAAATCATTTACTGATTTTGTTCAAAATACTTTTATGAACACCAGCTACTCTCAGCCATTGTACTAGCTGCTCAAAATCTGATATTTAATTATAAACTATTTCTACGAGGTTTTGTTTTGGATGCTGTGAAGTCTTTTGAAGACATTGTGGTCATGAAAGATAGGGTCAGGCCGGGCGTGGTGGCGCACGCCTGTAATCCCAGCACCCGGGAGGCTGAGGCAGGAGGATCGCTGGAGACCAGCCTGGGCTCCATAGTGAGTTCCATGCAGTCTCAACTACATAGTGAGACCCTATCTCAGAAAATAAATAAATAAATAAATAAATAAAAGATGGGGTCAGGAACTCTATCTGAAAGAAAACCCGGGCCAGCTGCCCTGCCCTCAGCATTACAGGACGTGGAAGACATGGCGGTGGGGTTGGAGGGTGGGTGCCGGTCACCAGCTCGAGAGCAAGTGAGGGGATGGAACGGGGAAAGGGGGTGCTGCAGCCTGGATGGCGGCCAAGGTCGAGGGCACAGGTCCAGGGGCCAAATGTTTCCAGAAGGGACAGAGCTGTGGGAAGGGGCTGGAAGGTCACAAAGCAAGTGCGGGGCGAGTTCCTGACTGATGCAGCTGGTGCAGCTGATGAGAGTTTCGGGCCTTGGTCTTCACCCTGAGGGGAGGCACATTCCCGGGAGGTTAGCTCTGATGTTAGCTCTGAAGCTGGCGTTGGGGAACCGCACTTGGCTCACTTCCCCATAGTGTTCCCACTGTCCTGGGGTGAGGTTGCTGGTGAAACAGGGAGACCCAGAGCGGCAAGGGGTGCAGCCTAGGCAGAGGTCTCCGGTTCACACATACACTTGGCTGCTTTTTCTCTTGCCTTTTCTTTCTTTCTTTCTTTTTCTTTTTTTTTTTATTTTTTGACACAGGGTCTCACTAAGTTATTAAGTTGTCAGATTGGGCTCAAACTTTTGATCCTCCTGCCTCAGCCTTCTTTTTCTTGACCTAGCCACTAGTGCGGTATTTATCATAAGTGGTGAGTGGTTCACCAGGTCAAACTGGAGCAGGCCTGTTCTCTCACTCTTTCCTCCTCACCAACTCCCATTGGCTTGAAATTACTCTTTGTATGAAAAATGAAAAAATTGTTTCCCTGGACGACCTTTACCACAGGGAAAGTAATAAAGTCAGTGCTTAAAGTGGTGAGTTTCTGAAAATTTCAGTGCAGATTTCTTAATTTCTCTCTCTTGTAGCAAAGTTCATTTGGAAATTATAATTTGTTTCAGTCTAGAGAAATCTAAAGAAGAAGGCTTAAATTCTAATTTTAGTCTATATTGTAGTTTATCAAGATGACTGACATTCTGTATTTTATATTGCTTCTTAAATAACAGTGCTTTTTCTTTTCTGTAAACAGAGAAGCTAAATATTAAGTTTGTGGACCCTGGGGCCCGAACTGGACTGCTGTCTTTTGAGGAGAGCCAGAGAATTCAGAAGCTTCATGAAGAAAACAGACAGTTCTTGAGCATTCCGCGGAGGTGAGCAAGCAGATTCTCAGCCCTGGCCACTGAGGAGGCCGCCGAGCTGCTTCCTTCCTCAGCTGCCTCTGTCATATCCAGATGCCGTATGTGGAATTCCACCCCCCACCCACCCACCCCATGATCGTTTCAGGCCAGTCTGGGACAAAAAAACTAGTCCAGAAGAACTCAGAGAGGCGGAGAAAGATAACTTCCTGAAATGGAGACGCCAGCTCGTCCGGTGAGTGTCCGAGCCTCAGGCCTCGCCCTGAGCCCTGAGTTGGGCCTTTGGCTGCATGTGTTGCCGTCTGAGCGCTTGAAGAGGGGACTGGTCATGTGCTGCTCGCGGACACACATGGGAGTGTGTGCGACAGGACGTGGCTGGTGCGTGGGTCTCACAAGGATGGCGAGCTGGTTATCTGGTCCGTTCCTCGCTCATTCTGTGGGCTGTCGGGGACCCTGCGTTCTTCCAGCAGGAGTCGTATGACCTTGTATGAGAGGTCAACCTGCAGGCCTTGGACAGCTGAGGGATAAAACTTGAATGTGGTGGGCTGTGAGATGAATAACTGATTGTTATATTGACTGAGCCGGAGGTATATAAAAATAATTTGACAGTATTTGTATGCTTCTTAAAGTAATGTATTTGGGCATTTATATCGCTTAAAATTGTCTATTATCATCTGGCAAAGATACAAACTTCTCATTCCAAAACCAGGCTAGAAGAGGAGCAGAAGTTGCTACTGACTCCATTTGAGCGAAATTTGGACTTTTGGCGTCAGCTCTGGAGGGTCATTGAGAGAAGGTGAGGAACCATTTTCCTTCTGTTGTTTTGTTTTGTTTTTGTCTTTGAGACGGGGTCTAATATGTAGTCTAGGCTGACTTTGAACTCACTGTGTAGCCCAGGCTAGCCTCGAAATTGAGGTGATCTTCCTGCCTCAGCCTCCTGAGTGGTGGGATTACAGGCGTGCACCATCTTCTTTTGTGTAATAAAGAGTCTGTGGTAGTGGTTTTAGATTTAGGTGTTGACATGGGCTCAAGTGCTGTCCTGAGATGGGGATTAAAAGGACCGTGAGGACAGGGATTAAAATATACAAAAAGCTATTGAGAATTTTTTAAAGTGAAAGGGTTTTTCTTACCAGATGACAAGCATGAGACAAGTATGATGGACAAGTATGAGAACAGAGAGCGTCCTCTGTCAGGCGAGTTGTGTAGTTTTTCCTGCACAGATGTATGCGTTTCCTCTGGTAATGGGAAACGTGGCATGAAAAGGGATAGTTGCCTTGGTGAGGATGAGTGTTACAGGAGACATGGCAGCGCTCACTCAGCTGTCTTGTGGGTCCAGCTAGCTGCCAGGCACCCAGATAAATGCAGTGCAGTCCCTTCCCCGAGAACTTGGCCCCCAGTAGGTCCTGGGCCATCACGGGCCTCGCTGTGGACTGTATTCCTGCTGTTCACCTGGTGAGTACCTGGGCTTATGCCCAACCCTCAGCACCCAGCCTCCTGGACAGAAGTAAAACTGGGTACATGACTATCTTAGTGACTTTCTTGTTGCTGGGACAAAATACCTGGCACCCACAAGTTAGAGGGAGGAGAGGTTCATTTGGTTCACAGTTTGTGGAAGTTTCAGTCCCAAGACAGCTGGCTCCCAGGCAGGTTGACGCGCCAGAGGAGAAGCAGTTTGTGGCAGGGCGCGCAGGAAGAAGCGAAGCGAGCCCTCTTCCCCGCTTCCCTCTGTATTCCACCCAGGCTGCAAGCCCATTGGCTGCCACCCACACCCAGGGGGGACTTCCCTCCCCAGTAATTCCATCCTGTGGTTGAGGCTGGCTTTAAACTCACTGTGTACCCCCGGCTGGCCTCAAACTTGAGGTGATCCTCCTGCCTCAGCCTTCTGAGTGTTGGGATAGCGGGTGTGTGTTACCATGCCTGGGAAAACTACAAGGTGTTTTTGTTTTGTTCTGTTCTATTGTTTTTGGTGGTGCTGGGAATTGAATCAGTGGCCTACCAGTAAGCTAAACAAGTGGTCTACACTGAGCTACAACCCCAGCCCCTGGGAGTTTTTTTATTTTTATATTTTTAGTTGGGCTTTTAAAAAGAACATGATTAAAAAAAAAAAAGCAAGGCCAGGGATTTAGCTCAGCAGTTCAGTGGCCTGCCTTGCAGGCTCAAGGACCCGAGTTCAATCCCCGGTACCAAAAAAAAAAGAGCATGATTTAGATGAGTTCAGAATGGGAAATTTTCGTTGTGTCCCTTGCAATACTGAGAATTCCTGATCGTAAAAAGTTGATGTGTCAACTTTCTCTAATCTCACCTTAGCATAGTAAGGAGGTTTTTGTCTTCTTCAAAGGGCTTCAGAATTATTTTCAGGGGTTTGATAAGTGAACTTTTTTTTTGGTGAAACAGGGCCTCACTATATATAGTTCAGCTTGGCCTTGAACTTACTCTGCAGCCCAGGCTGGCAATCCGCCTGACTCTGCCTTTTGAGTGCTGGGATTACAGGTATGCACCACTACACCCAGCAGACTTTTGTTTTAAATGATGCTTTTTAACAAGGAACCTACAGTCTGTATTTTTTTAAATCCATAAAATGTATCTGGTAAGAACATTAGAAAGCCAAATGCTTGAATTACAATTCTCAGAAAAGAGTATTACTACATTAGCGTGTTGCCAAGAAAATAGTACTTGAAACCAGACATCGTGGCACATGCCTGTAATCCTAGCATTTGGGAGGCTGAGGCAGGAGGATCTTCTCAAGTTTGAAGCCAGCCAGGACTACACAGTGAGTTTAAGGGCAGCCTCACCTTCATAGCAAAACCCTGTCTCAGCTGAAAAACACACACACAAAATCACCCCTAGCCCTTAACGTTAGTCCTTTCTCCGCTGTGACACAGCCCACTGCCCTTCTGTCTATAACAGAGGGAATTCTACTTCCCTTTGTATTCTGCTGGGTATAGAGCTCTTTTTTTTTTTTTTTTTTTTTTTTTTTTTTTTTTTTTTTAATGTAGGGGAAATATGGTACCACTCAACCTCTTCTGTAAGGCTGGATTGTGCATCCATTTTCCTACAAATAACTTCAGGGTAAAAAGTCTCATAGGTGCCCTCACCCTGCTCCCTCAGGGCGGGGGAGCTGGGATGTTTTTAGCTTGTTTCTGCTTCCTCTCCTCTCTTTCCTCTGTTCCTTTCCTCTATTCTGGCCCATGACCTGTGTAAGAGGCTCGTCATAGTTGGGTGACGGCCCTACCCGAGGAGGGGAGCTTGTCAGAGTGACAACAGGGCGTCTGGCCCAGAGGGGGTGTGTGTGTAATAGGAGCACCCGAAGGGTCCTGGGGATGTGGAGTGGTTCAAGGGGCTGGGCAGGTGGAGTGGAGGCTGCCTTTATTCCCCCGGCTACCTTCTCCTGGGCCTGAGGTCCCAGTTCTGGCACCTCTGGGGTCCCTTTCTCCTATAGCAAGCGCAGCCCTCTTCTTTGGGGTGGAGGAAGAGGCTGTGTTGGGTTGCACACACCGGGTAAAAGGAACAACAGGGCCGACCTGGGACCAGGCAGGTTCTGGCCACGTCTCGCCCTTGCTCTGGTGGGCAGGCAGACTTGCCTGTGAGACTCGGCGTCTTGCCTTCTGTAGTTGCTGCTCTTCTTTCCCTTTGTTTTAGAGTTTCATCCTTTTTTCTCCCTTTTGGGTCCGGAGGGGGAGCAGAGGTGGCCGTGTGCATTCGGTCTGTCTTGGACAGGAAAGCCCTTTGCCCTGGGCGCCCCCAGGCAGCAGCTGTTTCCTCAGTGAGCTGTGCTCGCTGACATGTCCAGCGTCAGGTGGATTGTAATATTGCTTGCTCTTATGTTCACTGTGTGATACGTGCCCACCCCGTGATGGAATAGGTTTCCAGCTCAAGGAAATAGATCTGCATTACACAGAAATATTATTAAGCCCTGGCTGCTGCTGCGTCTTTCACAGGAAATATTTACTGCTGTCTTCTCTGTCACAGATGTCTTCTGTTTGCTAACAGGCTGGTTGGGCCATCTGCACCCTAATTTTAGTAGTGGCTCTCAGAGTGTTTGGGGTACACAATGCAGCAGGATGCAGGCAGCTGCTGGCTCTGAGGGCAGAACACTATTCCAGTGAGATAAGCCGCTTTGCTTGCCTGCGCAGTGCATCCTGCCCCACCGCTCACGCTTTGCACCCAGGTCCTGCCCTCGAAGCAAGCTGGCCAGAAGTGTCTTCCTATCTTGCTGTCTTTTTTATTTATTTTATTTTTTTTTTTTAATTTTTTTTTTTGGTACCAGGGATTGAACTCCGGCCCTTGCCCTTTCGAGGCAGGCAGTGGAACCACTGAGCCAAATCCCTGGCCCTCTTGTTGTCATTTTAAAGCTGCTATTCCGTCTGTATATCTGGGCCTTGTGAGTTTAGCTCCTCATCCAAATTGATTCAATTTGATTTTGGTTTTGTTTTATTTTTTGGTACCGGGGATTGAACTCAGGTCCTTGCGCTTGCAAGGCAGGCCACAGAACCGCTGAGCTACATCCCCGGCCCACAGATTGATTTAATTTGAAAGTGAGAATAGGACCTTATGGGAGGAAATACTGGGGCCTGTGTAATTAGAAAACATAACAGCAATTCGTCACAAATTCACAAGTATGTGAGTTCTTTTTGAATCCTGAGATCATGCTAGTTCGTGTTTAGTTCGTGAAAGCAGATGCACTTGGAGTTGTCCGGACCCCTGCCTTCCATGGTAGTGTTGACCCCTCGGTGTCTAGCAGAGCTGTGGGATTGCCTGAGAAAAGCGCAGTGTCCAACTTAGAATTTGAGGAGCCTGCTGTGGGGTGGTGGCACTGACAGCTCTTGGGTCCTGTCCAGCAGTGGTCACTGTGGTCTTGGAGCGTCTCCTTAGCTGCAGAGACTGCGAGGAGGGAGGAGCCTGCCATGGAGGTGAGGGAGAGAAAGCCGCGCTGTGGGTGATGGAGGCAAGGGGCTGGCTGTTGGCTGCAGGTTTTCTCATCACCACCTCTTCATGCGATGGAAGGAGCTGAACTCGTTCCTGTTTCAGCCTGCCAGCTGGAGCAAGTATTTGGTGGTTTTGTATTTTCGCCACAAAGTACATTTTCCGAGCGGTCAGGTGATTGTGGGCTAGCTGCAAACAGTCTTCTCCAGCAGTCCTGAGTTCAAATGAGATCTTGACTTCTCGGTGGCAGCTGGCAGCAAGAGCTTTATTATTTTTCTTTCGAGGACTGTTAATAAGTGCAGATGCAGGACTGGGTTTTTAGTAGACGCCACCTAAGAGTGCAGCGTTTGAATACTCTGCTTCTCCAGGAGGGTCCCGTAGAAGTCACAGTGAGAATTCAGCAGTGAGCGCCCCTTGGGCCCCTTGAGGCTGCATCAGAGCCGCAGAGCAGGGCCTCTGAGCAGGATACTCATATTCCTCTTTGGGCTCCACTATTATCAGAAGTGGGCAGGTTATGTAGCTACCATAAGGGCCAGTTCAAACTGAGAAGAGCTGTGCCTCAAGGGATGGCCACGTGGCAGGGCGTGGTGTGTGGGAGGGTTTGTCGCTCTGCCTTCAGTGTGGGGCCAGTGGTCCCTCTTCCTTCCTGGAGCCTGACTTGATGGTCTCTTGCATTTCAGTGATATTGTGGTCCAGATAGTAGATGCTCGGAACCCGCTCCTGTTTCGCTGTGAGGATTTGGTAAGTACCGATTTCCATCCTTGGAACAGTGGAGAGGCCAGGGCCTCAGCACAGTCCTTGCACGCAGGTTCTGTGCTCTCCTCCCTCTCCGGCCCAACAGCTTGCACAGGGCCACTGCTTAGATGGATGTCTTCTCGGACAGCTGTTTCCACCTGCAGAAAGCACACGCTTAAAGAGTCTCTTTTAGTTTAGAAGCCACTTTACTAATAACACTTTTGCCAATTTTCAGTAGCATTATACTCACTTCAGCATATTCTCCTAGTCTGATCACTGCGCTTCTTAACCCACCTCAATTAAGTTCTCCTCACGCCCTATTTACTACCCTTTGTGGTATTTTACAAGTGACCTAAGTTTCTAAAACACTACAAGGAATGGTAACTAAGGTGTAAGGATTACATGGAGTAATGTGAAACAATTTGAATTAATAGAACATCTTACACATGTGAGGCAATCATTTCTGTTTGAGAACTACTTATAGTTACAATAGTACAGGTTTTCTTTTTTTAACTGGTTAGTAACAAATCTGATCAGTGAAACCTTTGTTCAGAGTTTATGAAAGGATTAATAAGAATGTACCAAGATTTAAATCTTAGTTAGAAAGTGATTTACAACTAGGGGCAAAAAAAAAAACCTGTTACTGGAGATCTTCAGCATAATGAGCCCAGTTTTTTCCTTGCATGTCTTTACCTTCCCAGGAACGTTACGTGAAGGAGCTGGACGCCGACAAGGAGAACGTCCTCCTGATCAACAAGGCGGACCTGCTGACCGCCGAGCAGCGCCGCGCCTGGGCTGCTTACTTTGAACAGGAAGGCGTGCAGGTTATTTTCTGGTCGGCTTTGACTGGAGCCGCCCAGCCCAGTGGGAACTCTGAGGTAACTTGGGGCCTTTGCAGGGCTACCTTGAGGGAGGGTCTTGTGAAGATTAATGGGCCTCGTTTATGTTCTGTTTCTTCTTGGTGGAGATTATACTACTTTTGCTTTGGGGGATTTTTTTCCCCCCATAAATGCTGTAATAATAGGATGACCTGTAGAAAGGTCAATCGCAGAGTTACTTTCTTTGTGGTTTTCATGTAGTCTGGCATTCCTAGTGTTAGGCACTGATTCTTTAATTGTTTTTTTTTTTCTTTTTCTTTTAGGCAGGAAGTTTTCTAGGAAGCCTCATAATGACCTTGTAATTGCTTTTAAGAGAAGTTAGAACAAAAGGATGTAGGGACTTTTCAGGGGTTGATCCAAATCTCTTGACTTTGTTTTGAAAACAAAGAAACTAAGTAACCCTAAATTAAGATATGCCATGTTATTTCCCTTTAACCCAAATTTTACAGAAACAGTTTGGGGCTTATTTTATTTTGCAATAAAATAAATATGAAAAGAAATGAGATAGAACTTTCGGTCTGGTTCCATTTCCCCAGCCTGCGTCCCTTTCCTCTCTGTTGGTCAGTGCTGAAGTTCAGTGGGAGCTCAGCTAGGTGCTCCTGTGAGTCCAGCCCCTCCCCGCCAGGCGGGCATCTCACTGGATGACTCTCCATGGCCCAGGAACCTGGTCCTTTTTCTCTGTAATTCAGAAATCCCTTGCCCTCGGTCCTTCCCTGGTGTGTGGTGTGTGGTGTGTGGTGTGAGGAGGGTTTATCTCCTTGGTTTCCTCTTTATAGACTCTGTGTCTTCAGGTGTCATATCCTGCAGAGCATGGCTCAGGCCTCTTCCTGAGTGCCGACCTGCAGCAGTGACCTGAGTGCATCTTAAGGTGCTGGTACGGAATATGTGCTGCAGAGATTCCTCTTCCCCGTGATCAGGGTCCCCCCAGTTCCGCCCTCTGCATTTAGCCCTGTCAGCCATGGGATGCTGTGAGACTGATTAGCCTATGAGTGAACAAATCCTTCTTTTTTTTTTTTTTTTTAGCCTGCAGCAGTGACCTGAGTGCATCTTAAGGTGCTGGTACGGAATATGTGCTGCGGAGATTCCTCTTCCCCGTGATCAGGGTCCCCCCAGTTCCGCCCTCTGCATTTAGCCCTCTCAGCCATGGGATGCTGTGAGACTGATTAGCCTATGAGTGAACAAATCCTTCTTTTTTTGTTTTTTGCAGTACTGGGGGTTGAACTCAGGACCTTGCACTTATCAGGCAGGCACGGTACCACATGAGCTAAATCCCCAGCCCTAAAAACTTTGATTTTCAAAATGACTGAGGACAGTTTACAGTGAGGATACACTGACTTCTTTACATTTATTGCTCGTTTATCATAAAATTGCTTCTAACTTTATGGCTGTCTTGTAGGCCACGTTTCTAAGTTGCCAGATGTGATCGTAAAATCCCAATGTTATGTCTCCTTTGCTGATGTTTAGGATGCCTATTTGACCAGGTTCACTGAGTTCCTTTCTGTCGCTGTCAACCACGCTGATCCTAAATGGTTGAGGAGTGATACAAGGTTTCTCACTTTGAAATCCCATCCAGCTCACACTGGGGTGGAATTTTGCTGCCTCTGTCTATGCGTCATGGAGCTTTTTGACTTAGCAAAGGCAGTGTAAGAGCTGGGATGTAGCTCTGTGGCCCCGCACCTACCTGGCAAGCACAAGAACCTGAGATTGATCCCGGGTGGTGGGGAATGGGTGCAGTGATAAAAGAAGAGCGGGTCTGGGGCACAGCTCCGTAGAGCTTTGGCCTGTGTGCAGAGCCCTGGGCTCGGTCCCCAGCCACACACAAGAAGGGAGTAGTAGTTTCCTTACACATGCAAAGACGTGCATGTAAAATGACCCTTAAATGACAAATGCCTTTGTTTTGTGCAGAGAGAATGTTAAGATGTTTTATTGTAAATGATGAATGCTTTGTTCTATTGTACAGCCCACTGCAAAAGAATATATTGCCTAAAAGTCAACATAACGCTTCCCCGTGCTTTGAGATTTACTTTAAAACAGGAAAGCCGTCTGTGTGATTGTCAGGTGCAGCCACAGCTGAGGGGTGCAGCTCTGACACTGCCTGGAAGGCCTCGCTGCCTGCCGCCTGCTGCCTGCTGCCTGCTGCCTGCATTCGCCTTTCCCAGGCTCCCCGACTTTCCTTGCTTCTGTTCATTTTACATGACCGGCTCATTACGTGTTGTCCCTTGAGTGAAAAGTGCAGTTACAATCTTGGGACCTTTGGGTTTCTGTTGTTTTACCAGGAGCCAGGGAACCCTGACACTGGGGAAGCCAGCACAGCCGAGTCTGAAGACTCCAGCTCTGAGGAAGGCACCGCTCCTCACCCACACAGTGAAGCTGCCACTAGCGGCGAGGACAGCGACAGTGGCAGTGATAGCAACTATGAGGACTGCTGGGAGGAGGAGGAGGAGGACTGGCAGACGTGCTCAGAGGAAGACAGCGGCGCTGAGGAGAACTGTCCTGCAGACCTGGGGGCCAAGGGCACAGAAGCCCTGCAGACGAGGCCTTGCAACCTCAGCCACCTGGTGTCCAAGCGGGAGCTGCTGGAGCTCTTGAAGCGGCTGCACACCGGGAGGAGGGTGAAGGTCGGGCAGCTCACCGTGGGCCTGGTAAGATGTACTGCACGCTGAGGGTCGTCACCCACCTGGGCAGCCACACGAGCTCCTAGAATCTGGCCGCTGCCCTAAGGTTCGCCGCCTCCTGTTCCCCTGGTGTCAGGATGAGGCTGCTAAGGTGATAATGTGGAGCTGGCTCTCTGAGCCAGCTGCCTGGGCTGTGCTGGTTCTGCTCTTGTTTCTGAGCTGCTCTCCACCCTGCCTCGGTGCAGCCCTGGGCCATATGCGCCATGTGGAGAGGTGGCTGGGCAGGATGAGAGCTTTTCGTGCGTCTCAGAACTGGAGGCCCATGATCACGGTCAGCCTGTGCACCTCATGACTGACTGCACGTCCCGTGTGCCCATTAGGGGAGTCCTAGTGGCGTGCTGCAGCCAGGCAAACGGGGCAGGTGCCTTTGCTGCATGACACCCACAGTACACAGGAGAAGGCACCGCCCCACTCACGCACCCTCATTCCACAAGTGGCAGTGGAGATGCCCATGCCCTGAGGGCTGCAGCATGGCTCCAGAGGCCCCATCCCTAGCAAGGAAGAATGAGCTGTCAGAGATGGCTTTAGAGATCCCTCGGGGAGAAAGGGACGCACAGCAAGTCCCACTCAGCGTGAGTGCTGCTTGGTCTCACCTCCTCCTGGGCCACTGGGAAATGAGAGCCTCGTGTTTGTGCACCAGAAGCCATCTCGGTCATGCAGACCTGGGTGTGTGTCCCCATCCTGCAGCAGAGTGAGCTCGCCTGTGATGCACACTGGGAAAGCTAGGGGTTCCCCTCAGCTTTAAGGCATGGTTTCTGTATTGTTGCTGAAATGTGCACAGCACTGGAAACCCTGGCTTCTCTGCAGATCGCTTTCTCCTATGGCAACATTGAGCAGCGTCCTCCTTTCTGAACTCCATACTCTAGGAGTCCAGGGACAGTTCCTTTACTCATGCTACTGACACCCGCCATACACGAGGCTGCCAAGTTGTGAAGTAATCCAGTGTGGTGGCTGTGCGTGTCCGCCTGCTACCTGGCTTAGCCCGCCCCACTGGAGGGAGCTGTGGGACAACTGAGCAAAAGACCTCTATGTGGGGCAGGGGAGAAGTTGCCTGGAGGGTGACAGAGCCTGTGGATTAATGCAGTTTGACCCCCTGGCCTGGATGAAGGCACCCACCCCATAGGAGCAAAGCGTGGCATGCACTGAGCATTTGGTCAGAGGCCTTGGCCATGACTGGGTGCGTGTGCCGGCCTCTGCTTTCACTGCCTCTGGGCTTCTGGAAGCTGGCCTGGGACTGCTCATGATTCTGCAATTCTTCTAGGTGGGCTACCCTAACGTCGGCAAGAGCTCCACCATCAACACCATCATGGGCAACAAGAAAGTGTCAGTGTCCGCCACACCCGGCCACACCAAACACTTCCAGGTGATCCTGTGCCCCAGCCCTGCCCCCTCCTCGCTCAGCTCTGCTCTGGGCTGTGCACCCAGTACCTGTACCTTCCTTCTCTTATAGACCCTTTACGTGGAGCCTGGCCTCTGCCTGTGTGACTGCCCCGGGCTGGTGATGCCGTCCTTCGTGTCCACCAAGGCAGAGATGACCTGCAGCGGAATCCTGCCAATCGACCAGATGCGAGACCACGTCCCTCCAGTATCACTTATATCCTTCCTGGTGGTTCCGGGCCGGTGGGGGCTTTGGAGATTTGGGGCAGTGCTTTCTGGTGTCATGTGGAGGGCTCAGGTCTGCCCCTGTAGCAGGGAGAATATGAAGTAGTGGCGATCTGCCCGGCTCAGGACTCCAAGTTAGAACCCAGCTCTGGAGTCAGAAGCGTAGCCAGTGTGGACAGAGAGGCCCAGCTGCACACCCAGGCTGAGGGGCCCAGGAGAGCAAGCTTGCCCCACTGAACACTCTCCTGTCCTCTAGCACAGGGTGATACCTGCCTCACACAGTGGCTGTTGTTAATCCCGGTGACTAGCGTTCATGGACCACTTGCTAAGTGCATTTGGGACACTTACTGTGTACCTCTATTCCGAGAACATCCGTGGAGGACAGTTGTTGCTGTTGTTTCCTGTTTCCTTCTGCTTGTATTTCAAGCTGAGACACAGCAAAGCAAAAGCCTCCACACACTGCTCCTGTGTGCGGCTTTGCAGTGTCCACTGCAGGTGTTTGTGTGGTCCTGGTGACCCCTGCCTCGCAGTCAGCAGATCAGTCTGCTCTGTTCTGTGGGCGCCGGGGAGAGAGGAGACTCCATGAAACTGGTGCTCTAGCTTGTTAGCTTGTGAGGAAGGTAAATTCCATGCCCTACTCAGTTCTTAACAAATCTCTGAACCACGTTGTTCTCTTTTTCTGTAAGAAATGAGTAAAGCATTCATTTGTAATTACAGCGCTTTGGGAGGCTGAGACAAGAGGATCATTTACCCCCTAGGGAATCATAAGACCCTGTCTTTTTTTTTTTTTGTACCAGGGATCGAACTTGGACCCTTGCTTGCACTTGCAGAATAGGTAGTGGAACCACTGAGCCAAATCCCCAGCCCTAAAACCCTGTTTTAAAGTAAAAATCAAGAAGGGGGGCTGGGGATTTAGCTCAGTGCCAATGCATCTGCCTTGCAAACACAAGGCCCTGAGTTCAATCCCAGGTACCAGAAAAAGAAAAACAAAACAGAATTTGTTAATTTTTTTTAAAAAAAGAAAAAGAAAAAAAAGGGGGTGCTGGGGATTTAGCTCAGCAGTTCAGTGTCTGTCCTGTCTTGCAAGCACAAGGACCAGAGTTCAATCCCTGGTACCGGGAAAAAAAAAAAAAAAAAAAAGAAGGAGGGGCTCAGCATGGAGGCCCTGGGTTCCATCCCCAGTGTCAATCTGTGTTTTTAAAGTATAAGAATTGATTCAATAAAACAGTGTGTCACTAAATTGGGATGCAAACTCGTTGTTAAAAAGAATGCACTAATTCTGTCCCCAGCCCTTTTTATTTTTTATTTTGAGATGATTTCTAAATCACTGGGTTACCCAGGCTGGACTCAGACTTGTCCTGCCTCGGCCTTGCAGAATGTTGGGATTACAGGTGTGTGCCACCACACCCACTAAATACTTAAATTTTTCTTTTCTTCTTGGTACAGAGGGATCGAACTCAGGACCTTGCACTTGCCAGGCAGGTGCAGTGCCACTGAGCTACAGTCCCCACAGCTTAAATTCCTTTTCTTTTTTTAGTTTTTTGAGATGGTTTCTATATAGCTCAGGCTGGCCTTGCACTCACAGCAGTCCTCCCACCTCAGGAGTGCTGGAATCACAGGCATGCACCACCGTGCCCGGCTAAATTTGGGAACACGGATGTTAACTTGTGCTTTCTGTGTAGATCAGCGTAGGGCATGTGCTGGGCACTCACCTGCAGGCAGTGAGGGGCCACAGAGGACGGAGGCGAAACTCAGGTGGGCCCCATCTCTCCAGCAGCGTCAGTCCAGGGGACGCGGGACACATGCATGTGTGGGTGAAGGGCAAAGCAAAGCACAGTCATCTTGCATGGTCGTAGGCATTAGCAACAGACACCTGTGCTTCATGTCTTGTGTAGGGTTATCTCACAGATTTGTTGTTTATTTATAATATTGCTTCACAAGATAAAGGTAATCAGTTTTAGAGAACTGGTTTGGAGTGATCGTGGTGTATAAGAAGCTGATGGTTGCTGTGAATATCTATTCTATTCTATCTGGGGAGGACAGTGAGCGCGGAGACGGTCAGTGCCTTGGCCTGCATGTCAGGTGCCGTGGGGACGGTCAGCTCCAGTCTGTGGGCGCCTTGACTGGGTCACGTGTGCCAGAACATTCCACGGCGGGTCCTGGAAGCCACCTACGGCATCAGCATCGTGAAACCCAGGGAAGACGAAGATCCTCACCGACCTCCAACCTCAGAAGAGTTGCTGATGGCTTATGGATGTGAGTTGTTTTTTATTTTAAAACACAAACAAAAGATAACAGTGCAGTGAGTTAACAGAAATAGTTAATAGAATTAATGGAAGGCAGGTTCTCAGAACTGATCCAGGGTAAGTACGTGCTTTAACCCTGAGCCACATCCCTGGTTGCTGTATTTTTTAATAATATCCTCAGTACCATTTTTCATCCGGCACCACCTGGTAAAATCAGCAAGAGGAAAGGCCACTTTGTAAAAGCATCCCTGCAGTAACCTTCCTGAGATCACTGTGGGCCTGCTCAGAAGAGGATCTCTGAGCCGGGCATGGTGGCACACGCCTATAATCCCAGCACTCGGGAGGCTGAGGCAGGAGGATCCCTGTGAGTTCAAGACGAGCCTGGGCTACATAGTGAGTTCCAGGTCAGTCTCAACTACATAATGAGACCCTGGCTCAAAAACCAAACAAACAAACAAAAACAGAAGAGGATCTCTGGCAGTAAATTGTAAAAGGGTTTGCCAGATTGCCAGTTTTACTTTGTATTTCTTTAAGTGCTCGTGAAGTTGGGTGTCTGCATATATTCATTGGTTCTCTGAGTTTCTTCAGGGATTACCTTCTCTTCCGTCTACATGCCATGCCTGTTGTTTTTCCTAAAATGTTTATTTATGGTTTCTTTAGCCCTATAGAAGTTGGCAGTCTTCACAGACTTTTTTCCCCTTTGGGGCTTGACTAGGTTTGGTGTTTTACTTGGAGAAACTTCCCTATGTCCAAAAGACAAAACTATTTTTCTGTAATACTTGTTGTTTTAGATTTTTTTTTAATCTATCTAAAATTTTTTGTATATGATATGAATTAGGATTTTAAATATTTTCTTCTAGAGTGAAAAGGCCTACATGTAGCTAGTGTATAAGGGAGCTACGTTCTGAGTCCAGCCTATCTGCCAAAGCCCACATTCTTAACTGCTGTGTTCTCCCCTATCTGCTAATTGAGTCAGCATTAAAGGGATCTTTAAGGTCTGTTTGGGAAACTGCAAAAAAGCATACAGATATATCACTAAAGAAGACAGCTTGTTGCCAGGTATGTGGTTCGTGCCCGTGTTTCCAGCTATCAAGGAGACTGAGGCAGGAAGGTCGCGAATTTGAAGCCAGCCTGGTCAGCTTAGTGAGGTTGTTTCTAAATAAAAAATAAAAAGGCTTAAGGATGTAGCTTGGTGCTAGAGAGCCCCATGGTACTGCTAAAAAACACAAGCTTGCTCCGCAGCTTTTGGGTTTGCTGCTAATAATGTACTACGGCGGCCTCTCTGAGTCAGGGTTTCAGCTCGAGGAACAGAGGACACTGGGATGTGAATGAGTCTTCACAGTGTGGTGCTAGGTGGTTTCCAAGTATAGCAGGTATGGCTGGGTAGTCTGTATCCTGGTCACACGTGTTTTAGTGCTAAACAAAAGATACTCACTGTAGAGTGAATTAATATTTTAAAACAGGAGGAAGCATGCATAATTAGCATATCCGTGGAAGGGACTGAGTGCACTGCCTCAGTGAGTCGTGACTGTCTCCCAGCTAAGGTTCTGTGCCTTTGCTTCTCCCGCAGACATGCGCGGGTTCATGACGGCGCACGGCCAGCCAGACCAGCCTCGCTCTGCGCGCTACATCCTGAAGGACTACGTCAGGGTGAGTGCGTCCCCTCTTGCGCTGCTCGTGAATAAACAAGTCTTCTTCACCCACATGCCGTGTTCATAGCTAAATTGCCACCCTTTGGGTTCTGAGGAGATAGTTTTCCGTGGAGATGGAGTTCTAATCAGGGTCGTGGTCCCCATCCAGGGGAGTTAGCCTCGCACAGTTATGGGAGGGGCTGGTGACATACTTTGACTATATCGACTTCCACTGTATCTATCAGTCTTCCTTGCAGTGTTGCAGTCCAAGAGCCTTACTTCCCATGCTTGCCTGGTTTCAGTAATGATAAGGGCTGACGTTCCTTTTCAGAGCTAAGGCAGGAGTGAGTCTGAATGTTTTCCATGTATCTCTTCACTAATACAGAACAAGGAGGCTGGGGTATAACGCACAGGGATAAAGTGTGTGCACCCCAAAAATTAAAACTAAAACCAAGCCCCTGAGGTCATATTCTGTCATGTCACAAATGAGCACACTGTTTGGGGTTTCCTCATCCCTAAGCTCAGCGCCAATTACATACTAATTCCCCAGGATGTGTTATGTATTCAGTTTAGGTCTTTCCAAAAACCAGCACTGTAGCGGTTCCTGGTGAAAACTAGCTGCGAAGGTTGAATTTTGATTCCCCCCTCTCCTTGAATCTGAATCTAGGGAGTGTAGAAATAAAAGTAGGCTGTGCTGTTTGACTGCAATTCAGAAAGAACATGGTTACTACTGTTTGGATAGAAATCGCTTATCCGTTCACCTTTTAATGCTAGAGGGAGCAGAGAAGGGTAACAGGCACAACTTTTAAAGCATCTCTGTGGAGCCGGGCATGGTGACGCACACCTATAATCCCAGCACTTGGGAGGCTGAGGCAGGAGGATCGCTGTGAGTTCGAGACGAGCCTGGGCTACACAGTGAGTTCCAGGTCAGTCTCAACCACATAGTGAGACCCTGTCTCAATAACAGAACAAACAAAACACCTTGGCGGGAAGAGGTACTTTATACCCAGGTGGCAAGCCCAGCCCACATGTAAGAGGCTAAGGGTTATTTTGGGGTTCCCTGCCCCACGGTGCTGGATGGAGCCCAGGCCCTCGCACCTGCCAGGCGAGCACTGCCTCCTGGGGACTCCTCGATATCAGATCCCAGATTAATATTCCCATTGGTACAGTCAGAACTTTCAAGTCGCGTCCTGGTTTTGGTTTTAGAAAATCCTTAGCCCAGGGGTAATCGTAAGAGCACACTGAAGCGTCCTCAGTTGAGATGCAGAGTGAAATGGAGCCGAGGGCAAGACCCCATCTGGTGTGAAGCCAGGGGGCAGCGAGGTGGAAGCTCTTGTTGGACCTCCGGAGTCAGCTCAGCAGGGTCCCCACCCCACGCGGGAGCCTGCTCAGAGTCTCCTTTTGGGCCCCTGTTGTCTCTACAGGGTAAACTGCTGCACTGCCACCCCCCTCCCGGGACAGACCCCGTGACGTTTCAGTATCAGCACCAGCAACCCCTGGAGAACAGGATGAACGGTGAAGAAACAAAAACGCAGCCAAGTAGAAACAGAAAAGGGAGACAGATTGAAAACGTAGTTGACAAAACATTTTTCCATCAAGTAAGTTTTTCTTTAACTTCTGATCCAACACATTCTTTTTCACAGTAAACATTGAGCTGTTCACACCATAAACAACTGAAGTTCTCCTGCTCCATTTTAAAGTGGCCTTTCAGAGTTGTGAGTCCAGGGTAGGAACACCCGAAAAAGAAACCTCCTACGCTGTTAGCAGCTCGGCCCGCTCCCCTCGCCTCAGGCGCTGTGCTCCCTGTCTGCGTGGCTGTGGGTCTGCACGAGCTCTACACAGCACACGTTCGCGTCCTTGGTCTGTCCCCAGCAGCGGGGCTTCTGTGTGCGAGGTCGCCTGTGTGTGACCTCTGAGGCGGCCGATGCGTGCTGACGTCCCCCCAGCAGTGCCGGAGCTGTCTGATTTCTCCACACCCTTGTCAGCACTCTCTGCTCTTCTGGACGTGTGTGGAGAGCTGTCCGGTGGTTCTGATTGGGTTTCTGTGTCCCCAATCCTCTCTCCCAGTGCTCATAGGTACATGTGTATTTGCCTCAGAGCAGTGTCTGTTGTTTTGTTTTGTTTGCTTTTTCCTTGTTTTGTTTTTTGTTTGTTTGTTTGTTTGTTTGGAGACAGGGTTTTGCTGTGTAGCCTAGGCTGGCCTTGAACTCACCATGCAGCCCAGGCTGGCCTCAAACTTGCGACAGTCCTCCTGCCTCAGCCTCCCGACCACTGGGGTCACAGGCCTGCACCACGACACCTGGCTAAATGTTGGTTATGGCTGAGTTCCGGGAGTTCTTCATACACCATGCTTATCAAGGCCTCTTCAAATTTATGGTTAGAAAGTGCCAGAGAGACAGCTCCTGCACTTCACAGTATTAGCAACTTGAATTGCAGTTTAGAGGTAGCATTGTAAAAAGCAAATTTGTGTTCAGAAAAGTTTACTCATAGGGTTGTACTTAATTAACGTGCTTCCAAAACACTTCTAAGTGGGCTGCGGCTGTAGCTCCGTGCTAAACCAGTACTGCGGGGCAGGAACAGTGACAATAACGGTGCTCTCAAGTGACTGCCCTTACCTGGAGAGAAAGGAGCTGGGCGCATGCAGAGGGTGGCTGGCTGCTTCCTTCTCTGGTGCCCTGCGCCGTGAGCCAGGGAGCAGACAGTGACGTGACTGTCACCCTTTCACCGTGCGGGGCTGGGGCCCGGGACACCGAGCCCCTCAGCCAAGAGCACTTCGTTTGAGTTCTTTCCAAGTGTGCTGGCGGTGTGCAGAAGGACCACAGGTTCTTCTCAGGCCCAGCAGCAAGCGTACAGGACATTTAATTTGAATCATTTCGTGCTTGCTGGAAATCTCTAAAGGCCCCTTCCGTGAAAGCTGCCAGCTTACTGTGAGCTACAGTAGCTCACAGATCTGACCTCAGCCCCTAGAGCGGTTTCCTGTCTTGCCACCAACCCCAGTGAGAGATGATGGTGGGAGATTAAGAAGGACAAAGAGATAAAGGTGGGGCTCTAACTACTGGTGGGAGAAAAGACCCCAGGAGCTGCATGGGTTTGTTTGCAGAGATAGAGGTGAGGGAAGCCAGGGGAGGTAAAGGGCTGGGCTGTAAGTGGAGCTGGGAGGGTAACAGGTCTGCAGGGCCCGCGGGATGGTTTTCTGGCGAATGGGCCGGAAGGAGGACAGTCCTCTCCAGCCACGTCCTCTTCCGCCTGTTCTCCCTTGTCGAGGAGGTGGAGCTGCGTGATCCTCGTCCGTGTGGGCCCTGCCTAGGCCTGGCCACAGCTATCTGCAGTTTAGCGCTCCCGGTGCTGTCACACAAAGACGGATGTTACTTCACACTTCGTCCCTCTGGGTTCCTTTTTCTCAAGGAAACTCAGCTTCCTTAGAGTTAGTTTCTAGTTTGGGTCCCTGAAGGACACCCTGCGCTGCCCTCCCACCGAGATGTCCTCTCATCTGCTTTCCAGGAGAACGTGAGGGCCCTGACGAGAGGGGTGCAGGCCATGATGGGGTACCAGCCCGGCAGCGGCCTGGTGTCCGCAGCTACTGTGAGCACCGAGAACGTGGCTGGGAAGCCCTGGAAAAAACACGGCAACAGGAACAAAAAGGAGAAAAGCCGCAGACTCTACAAGCACCTGGACATGTGACCTGAGGCTGTGCTGGAGGCGGGGGTGGCTCAGTGCTGCCGGGCCGAGGACTCTCCCGGGCTTGGGGCTCAGTCACCCCACAGGCTTGGCACAGGGGTGCAGCTGGGGACACTGGCTGAGGCCATCGAGTCAGGGAGCCCAGAAGTAGGGCCCAGGGGGGCCCAGGACGATGGCAGTATTGTGTGTTTATACAGATGTACATGTGCTTCTGTTTTGGGAATCAGGAGTTTCTGAAAGATTAGAATTAAATTGCCACTGCTCGGCATGGTGGTGCAGGCCTATAGTCCCAGCACTCAGGAGGCTGAGGCAGGAGGATCGCTGTGAGTTTGAGACCAGCCTGGGCTACATAGTGAGTTCCAGGTCAGTCTCAACTACATAGTGAGACCCTGTCTCAAAAAATCAAAAAAAAAAAGAATTAAATTGCCACTGACCTTCCTCTCAGTGTGAGCAGGTGAACTACCTACCGGCTGGCCCGTCCACATCCCGCCGTGGTCTTGCTTTGCTAAAGCTCTGCTGGGTTCTGGGGCGGCTTCTGAGGATGTGGATCGGATGGGCTGGCCCTGCCTGCACTCCTCCAGCACAGCCCGACGTGACCGGGCAGAGGCCTGGGCTGCGGGTCCTTCAGAGTCGCTGGGGGCCGAGAGCTTCCATCTGCAAAGCCACCAGCGGCACCGGGTGACCACAGCCGTCCTTTCCGGCCCTGCGCCCCTGAGCTCCTCCCGTCACAGGCGGCCTGGGGCCCAGCCTCTAACCCACACACCGCGCTCTGTCCTGGGCCCCGCTCCTGTGCTTCTGTAGCCTTCCGAGCTGCTGTTCCCCCAGCTCAGGGCTTAACCCTGGCTTATGGCGGAGGTGCTGTGGGGAAAGACACATCGGCCCCGGATCCCGGAGTTGAGCACTTCGTCCTAGTGGCCCGATTGTAAGGATGGCCCATCCCCAGGAACCGTGCGCACAGGGCTTCTGTGGGGGTCGCCGGCTGCCGTTATCCTGGCTGTCTCAGGCCGTGGGCCAGGCTCTGACAGTCACGCAGCAGAGCCATTTCCTCACCGCTGGTGACAGCTGTGTTGAGATGTGTTCTACTAGGGAAAATGTTATATCCTGGGGATTCAAAGGTCACATTTTTCCTGTTAACAAATATTTATTCACCAGAGCCTGACAGGAAGAGCGGGGCAGCAGGGTGCAGAGATGCACACTGTAATCCCAGCACTCAGGAGGCTGAGGCAGGGGGATTGCTGAGGGTTCAAAGCCTGCCTGCGCCACATAGCCACACTCACAAAAAGGGAGAGCAGTGCAGGAGGTGAGCACAGCAGCGCAGGGACAAGCTCGGGAGGACGGAAGTAAGCAAGAAGCCCAGTTGCCGCGCTGCGTCCAGTGCGCCGCGTCCGCAAGGCCATGAATGAGGGGCCGGCTGCCCACGGACGCCGCTGTGCAGGAAGCTTGCTGGGTGCTGCAAAGCACACACACCACAGACCCAGGGGACCCTCTATGGAGCCAGGGTGTGCACGAAGGTCCCGTCACACGCACGGGCAGCCCACGGCAGGACGAGCAGGGTGGGCTGCGTCTGGATGGACGTCCGCGTGAGGGTGCCTGAAGCCAAGCACTGTCCGAGCTGGCGGGCAGAATGCAAACGTCCAGTAGGTGGCTGGAGTCAGCCGTGTGACTTAAGCACTTGACGTGTGGCCAGTGTGAGGGAAGAGCCGAGTTTTAATTTTTTAACTATGCGGTTTAGGTTTTTTGAGAGAAGCTCTCACTGTGTAGTCCAGGCTGGCCTTGAACACACTTCCAGCCCTTTTTTTATTTTTCGTGATGCGACAGGATCTCCCTAAATGCTGAGGAAGGGGCCCTGGGTGCCCAGACTGCGGTTGAGGGCCAGTTTCTTCCCAGGTGTGTGCAATGGGGGAAGCTCTCCGGCCTGAAGCAGTTGGATCTGAACCAGCCCTGGATTCCTAGGCCAGCAAATCCTTCAGGCTTTTTTCATTTGGTTGGCAGTGGGGGCAGTGCTGACATTACAACTGAAGTGTCTGAAACCCACCTTACACTTTGCTCTGTTTGGCAGGAGGGCAGCTGTCTGAGACCGGGTGGCCTCAAACTCACTATGTTTCCCAGGCTGGCCTCAAACTTGAAGTGATCTTCCTGCCTCAGCCTCCTGAGTACTAGGATTACACACGTGCACCACCTTGCCTGCCTTGGAGCTGTGGTTTCTTTTTCAATGAAAGTTGTAATTCTGTCCTGCGTGGCTGGGAGTGGGGGTGCACGTCTGTAATCCCAGCACTCAGGAAGCAGAGGCTGAGGCGGGAGGATCACAGTAAGTTCCAGGCCAGCCTGGACTACACAGTGAGACTGTCTCGGTGACTTCAGTCCTGCTTTAAGCAAACTCACTAGTACCAATGCAGAAGTTAAAATCAGTAGCCAGGCACAGTTGTGTGCACATGTCATGTGAGCCCAGCTGGCACCTTAGCTACTTAGCAGGACGAGTCTCAAAATAAAAAGGGTCGGGGATGCTAGCTCAGTGCAAAGGCCACAAAACATTGTGTTTCCAGGACAGGCCCAGGCGCCTGAATCGTGCAGTGGTGCAGGTGGAGACTGGGAGAGAACCGGGCCGCACTCCGGAGGTGCAGAAGAAAGAAGCTCAGGACAAGGGCAGCTTCGGCCTGGTCAGGCTCAGAAAATGGGGCACCGGGCCAGCACTCGGCACGTCACCCTGCCCGCCGCCTGGTCCAGGGTCGCGGTTCAGTGCTCCACCACTGGAGGGGCCCGCACCAACCAGACAGGCGGGGCTGGGGTGCTCGGAGGCACTGCGGGGAGAAGGCCGCGCCGGGGCAGAGTGATCCTTTCTCAGGGTTGCACCTACCCAGGCCCCGCTCAGGGTGAGCCATGCCAGGCGGGACTCGGCAGCCCTGGAGGGCCGGGTGGTGCCGTGGGGAGTGTCCGTGAGCGCTCTGGGTTCTGTTGTCTGTACTGCCCTTTCTGGCAGCCTAACAGAGTTGTAGAACCTGGAAGTCCAAGGTGTGCACTCGTCCTTAATCCCAGCGCTCGGGAGGCTGAGGCAGGAGGATCACTGAGGGTTCGAAGTCAGCCCAGGGTACAGCCCAGAGCCTGTCTCAAAAAAGGAAGGAAGAAAAAAAAACCTTTGCGCCTGTGAGAACGGGGATGATCCCTCACAGGATAGGTGGAAGGGTGCAGGGAGGGGCACTTGGTAAGTGCTTGTTACACAGCACCAGCTCTGCCCTTCTCTGGGAAGGAGCAGTGATGCGTGATGGGGTCCCGCAGCTGCAGAGCTTGGCCGCGGGGCCACTAGAGCCTTGGGTGTTCTTTGTTCTTTGTTGTTTGGTACTGGGGGTCAATCTCATCGCCTTACGCCTGCGAGGCAGATGGTGGAACCACTGAATTAAATCCCCGGCCTCTTTATTTGGTTTTTTTATGAGCCAAGATCTCACTGTGTAGCCCAGGATGGTCCTGAACTCACTGTGAAGTTCAGGCTAGCCTCAAACTTCCTGTGATTCTCCTGCCTCAGCCTCCTGAGTGCTCAGATTCCAGGCTATTTCTTGTTTTTGAGCCAATATTCCATTACTTGTTCTCCAAAACTGTCTCCTTGGCTTCCACATTTCCGGAATATTATCTCCCCTGGCCTGGTTCAGAATAAGTGTGCCAGCCACGGAAGGGCTGGGCCGAGCTTCCTGACCCAGTCCCCCTGCCCTGAGATCCCCAGGGACAGTCAGACCCCAGCCCAGCCCCAGGAGCTGGACACTGAGAGCAGGTCAAGAGGGTGAAGACCCTGGCCTGCCCTTGACGTGCTCAGTAAAACATCTGCCAGGAGGATGTGCTAGGTGGCTCCCCCTAAGATAGAAGTGGTAAGAGGAGGCTGTCAGAGTTAAGTTGCAGCCAGGTTCTGAGGGATGAATAGGAGTTCACCTGGCAGAGGAAGCAGCTTGAGCCAAAGCTGGCACTTAACAAGCCACATCCTTGGGGCTGTGCGTAGGCTGAGGGGCCTGGGTCTTGGGGTCCAGTGTCGCTGCTTCACAGCCCTCCCCTCTGTGCCCAGGGCCGGGGAATCTGCTCTCCTGCATCTGCCTGTGCTCATGGCTCCTGGACGCCCTGGCTGGGCTCCTCCGCACCTCAGCCGTTGTGGCCCAAGACCAACAGCCCGAGTACCTGGTTCCTGGCGTCCCTGGGCCGTGCCACACTGGACCGCACTGCACCCACTGCTCGCACCCTCCATCCTTGGTGCCTGGCAGAGCTCTACCAGCAGGAGCCGTGGCCGGAGGCCCAGGGCATCACCCACGTGTGCAGCTATCTGCAGTTTGTTTCCTGAGAGCGTGCCTCACGGTGTAGCCCAGGCTGGCCTGGAACTCCCAGAGACCCTCTTGCCTCAGCCTCCTGAATGCTGACGGGTTACAGACGTGTGCCTCCACACGCCTTTCCCCAGGGACAGGGACACGGTGGCATCAAAGTGGGCAGCCCTGTCTCTTGACAGGCGCCCCCAGCAGGAAAGCGGGGAAGGCAGGGAGGGCTGAAGGCCTGCCTCATACCTCCCTGGGTCTCGAGCGCCCCCTCCTGTGTGGTGAGGACCACGGAGGGAGGAGCTCCGGGTTTTGCCCCGAGGCCAGAGGGACCCGGGCAACCAGGGGCTGCTGCACTGCGCAGGGACTGAGGACCAGGTCTCTGCCTGCTGCGGGGAAAGCCCCGGGCTGCCCCCTCGGCTTTGACCGCTCTAATAAAGTAGATTGAGTCCCCCGAACCCACTTGGACCGTCCGGCAGCGCAGTGACAGATGCTGCGTTCCATCCGCGCTGACGAGAGCGATTTGGGTTTTTCTCTACACTTCATGGAGATTATGTATTCCCTCTTTCACACGCTTCTCTCTTCTTTCTTTTTGGTTTGTTTTCTGTTTGCAGAAATGGGGACTGAACTACATCCCAACCCTTCATCATCATCATTATTATTATTATTTTGAGACAAAGTCTCACCTGGTTGCTAAATTGCCCACTGTGAGCTCAAATGTGTGATCCTCCTGCCTCAGCCTCTTGATTTCGAATTCAGGCTCAGCCTGGGCAACTTGGCAACTCAACAAGGATTCAAAATAAAAATTTACCAGTGGGCCGGGGATGTAGCTCAGTACGAAGGCCTTGGGTTCAAGCCCCAGCGCTTGGGAAGGAGGGTGGGAATCTTGTTTTAAAAAATGCTTCCTGACTTTAAAACTGCCTCCACCTGGAAGGGCTCGGGCTGGGCACCGCTCGGCACGGGCTGTCACACCGCAAGTCGCCGGGGACCGGGGCAGCCTCCGGCCGCCGCATAGCATGGAGCTGACCGAGGTGAGGCAGCCCTGGG